TTGCCCCCCGCCATGGCCTAGCCCGGCGCCCAGAACCGTTTCGGGAAGTGGAGGAAGGGGAAGTGTCCTGGCGGCACGGCCGGGTGGGGGACAGCATCATCCATGGCCCCCCCCACCCCGTTCCCCGGCAGGGACCTGGGCTGGGTTTGGGGTGCCCATCTGGGATATTCCCCCGGCGATGGGGTGGGGGGAGAAGGGGCCCTGCGTCTATTTTGGGGTGCGATCTCCTCTTCGAATCCCCCCGACCGGAGGAGCAGCAATTGCTTTGTGCCGGAGCTGGGTTATTTTTAGAGCCCCGGCCTATATTCTGGCTCTGAGTCAGAGCGGGTGGGTGGCCCCACCTGGGACGGGGGGACGGGGACCGCCGTGGCCCGGCCAGGGGACAGCGGTGACAACGTGCTGGGTGGCTGCGTGGTGCGGGGGGTCTTGGTCCTGCGGGAACCGGCCAGCCAGGCCCTGGGAAGGGTGTTTCCCCCTCCATGAATGAGCAGCTGGGCTTTTTTTGGGGTGTTCTGCTCCCCCCAGCACAGCCTTCAGCCTCTCGCTTTTACCCACGTCCCACCTCGGGGTGATGGAGGGGGTCTCATGTGTGCGGGTGGGGAGGGGACCCTGGTGTCCGAGCACCCCGGCTCCCCCTCCCTGGGTGCATGGGTGATGCTCAGCCCCCCAAACCCTCTGCAGAGGCTGGGGCCAGGAGCGCTGGGCACCCCCACCCAGCCCCAGCATGAGGCCCACTGCGACCACCCCGTGCCCAGGGAGGGGGGCACGGGCCACTAGCCCCTTCCCCATGGCATGTGCCAGCTCTGACTTCTCCCTTGGAACCCGCTCCAGGCCCCCCGCATGTCCCAAACCCCCCAGGACCTGGGGACGGGGTGGGGGACACAGCAGGACGAGCTGGTCCATGTGCCCGTGGCTGTGGGCTCAGTTGCCCGCAGGCCCCTGGGAACTGCGTGTGGGCAAGGGGGGATTGGACGCATGTCCCCTGCCCTGGTCGTCCCTGGCACCCCTGGGTGCCCACCTGGGTGGGTTCTGCCCATCTGTGGGTGTCACTGGGCTTTGTGTGACAGCCCTTGGCGCTCACCCCCGACACCCGCTGCCACGTTAGCCCTAATCCACTCGCCCCGGCGGCATCGCCAGGCCAGGGCACCTCCGGGGACATCTGCCAGGCTCAGCACCCACCCAGGCTGGCCCCATCCGGAGAGGGGTTCTGGCCGCCTCCCGGGGCGCAGGGACACAACACCTCACTCCCTCCAGCTCCAGGCTGGGGACATCGTCCTGATGGCACATCCAACCTTAGCCAGGAGCACCTCGGTGCCTGGCATGGTGGCACCCAGCCCCAGGGTGAGTGTGGGGGTGCCCCCAGCACCTCCTGAGCTGGTGTGGGAGGATTTGGAGCTGTTCTGGGCTGGGGGTCCATGTCCCCAGGGATTTGCCATGTTGGAGGACCATATGTGTGCGGCCATGACCTCTGTCCTGCTCCGACCTGCCACCCCTGCTCGGGTGCCCTCCCCAGCCCCAGACGGGGTCTGCCACGAGGCCTCAGCAGCCCCAGACATCCCTGTCCCTGCTCCCTTGGGATTGAGGGTGGTTGGGGACCTCTGTGTCCCCAGACACCCAGGAGGATGGGGACAGTCCCAGCCCCAAGGTTGACCCCTCCTCGGTGCCCAAGCAACCTGCAAGTGAAGCTCAATGGGGAGAGGTGGGCACAGGGGGATGGAGACCTGGGGACAGGTGTGACCTGTGGACCCCAGAGGCCCGCAGAGCCCCTGGTGCTCCCCATGCCTGAGGCATCCCTCCAGCTGAGTACACGGAGGCAAGAAGTTGAGCCTGCCAGGTAGAAACCCAGGGGAATAAAACAACCCCAAAGTTACGGTGGGATTTACCTCTCCCAGGCATGATGGCAGGTTTGGTCCCTGGGCTCTGGGCTGGCAGCCCAGGCTGGCACGGAGGTGCCCAGGCAGGGGTGGGGTGCAGGGAAGGGCAGAGGGGGTGAGGCTGCCCCAAGGGGAGAGCCCTTCCCTGCTCCCGTGGGGCAGTTTAGACCATGAGAAGGTGGTGGCTGAGAGCTGGGAGCCCCAGCCTGGGGAAGGGGTGATGGGAGGAGAGGGGGAACAAGCAGCTTCTGCCCTCCCCAAACTCTGTGATTGAGAATAGCCAGTGCTTGGACACTCCCTCCCCCCATGCCTCCATCCCTCCGTCCATCCCTCCATCCATCCATCCCTCCGTCCATCCCTCCATCCATCCATCCCTCCGTCCATCCCCATCCATCCATCCATCCATCCATCCATCCATCCATCCATCCCTCCATCCCTTCATCCATCCCCCATTCCATCCATCCACCCCTTCATCCATCTCTCTGTCCATTCACCCCTGTCTCATCCTTCCGTGCGGTGCAGAACAACAGCACCAACTCTGCTCCTGGGGCCACCCCCAAATCCTCAGTGCTTCCTCAAACTCCCCCTCACCCCATGGTGACTTGGCGGGATTCTCCAGTGTCTCATAGGCTCAGTAACAACCCCCATTCCCCTGCCCAGGGTTGCCCCCACCCCAGGATGCCCCCTCAGCTGTGGGTGCTGCTGGTGCCGGGGCAGTGGATGGCTGTGGTGTTTTCCCACCCTGTGCTGCTTCGTCGCTGAGCGGCTCCCTCTACCCTGGCAGGTCTTCAGCACTTACTCCAACGAAGACTATGACCGCCGCAATGAAGACGTTGACCCCATGGCTGCGTCGGCTGAGTACGAGCTGGAGAAGAGGGTGGAGCGGCTTGACCTCTTCCCTGTGGAGCTGGAGAAAGGTGGGTCCTCACCCCGATCTGCACCAGAGGAATCTGTCAGCGCCTTGGGGATGGGTTGGAGGTGACTCCATCGACACTGGGTGGCCACTGCCACCTCTCCAGGACATGGCTCTCTGTCTCCGCAGACTCCGAAGGGCTGGGGATCAGCATCATCGGCATGGGCGCGGGGGCCGACATGGGCCTGGAGAAGTTGGGCATCTTCGTCAAGACGGTGACGGAGGGTGGGGCGGCCCACCGGGACGGCAGGTAAGAGCTGCCCTGCCCGAAACACCCACCTGCTTCCCCACAAGGCCTAGGTAGTGCTGGAGGAGCTGGTGTGGGTGCAGGCAGATGTGCCAGATGTTCCCAGGGGTGGGAGATGCTGGGCAGGTGGGCAAGGGGTGGCCTCCTCGTGACAGTCCCCTTGTCCCCAGGATCCAGGTGAATGATCTCATCGTGGAGGTGGATGGCACCAGCTTGGTGGGGGTGACGCAGAGCTTCGCTGCCTCTGTCCTCAGGAACACCAAGGGCCGCGTCCGGTAGGGCCTGAGGCTGGGAGGTTTGAGGGGAGAGGGGCTGGGAGACCCCCACGGCCTGTGCTGGGCCACCTGTGACACCCTGTCCTGCAGCCTGTCCCCAAAGCACCCCAGCTCCCAGGCTGGGCTATCCCCAAAGCACCTCTGCACCCCTAGTCCCCATGCCCTGTGCCACCCTGTTAGTGCCCCCTGCCCCCCAAAATGCCCCCTCATCAACCCAGCATCCCCCCCAGCCCCCCAACTCATCCACAGGCCCCATAACATCTCCAAATTCACTACCCCCAACAGCACTGCCTGTCCCTGCAGGGGTGTCCCCTGGCTGAGCATCCCCACTGTCCCCTGGCTGTGCCACCCAGGTGTCCCCCACCCCAGGCGCCTCTGATTGGAGCCCCCCGATCCCCAGCTGAGCCCCGCTGTCCCCCCAGGTTCCTCATTGGGCGGGAGAAGCCAGGGGAGCAGAGCGAGGTGGCCCAGCTGATCCAGCAGACGCTGGAGCAGGAGCGGTGGCAGCGGGAGATGATCGAGCAGCGCTACACCCAGTACGCCGAGGACGATGAGGAGGTGAGGGGCACAGCACCCACCCAGGAGGAGACGGATGGGGTCCCCCCCACCTGATATGGGGCCGGTGACTCCGTTTCCCCAGGTGGGATGGGGTGGGGGTGCCAGGCTGGGGACCACCACATGCCAACGCTGGTCCGTGCCCTTCACAGACGGGCGAGTACGCCACGGACGAGGAGGAGGAGATGAGCCCCATGTTCCCCAGCGGGGAGATGGCCATCGAGGTGTTTGAGCTGGCCGAGAACGAGGACACGCTCTCCCCTGTGGAGATGGACCCTGAAAAACTGGTGCACAAGTTCAAGGAGGTGAGGAGGGGACGCGGGGGGGGAGGTGAGGGTGTTCCAGGGGAACTCGCCCCACATGCGGCAGCACTTCTGCCTGCCCCGTGTGAACACCCGACTCCTCTTGCAGCTCCAGATCAAGCATGCTGTCACCGAAGCCGAGATCCAGCAGCTGAAGAGGAAGGTGAGATGGTGCCCTGGCTCTCTGTGGGTGGGAGGGACCACCCCTCCATCTCCCCTGACCCCCCTGGATTTCCATCTCCCTGACCTCCCTGGATCTCCATCTCCCCTGACCCCCCTGGATCTCCATCTCCCCCTGCCCTCCTAGCTCCCCACATCTCCCCCCAGACCCCTCACCACGCCGTGCCGTGCCATGCCATGCCATGCCCGCTCCCTGGCCGTGCCGTGCCCTGACCCCGCTGTCCCCCAGCTGCAGTGCCTGGAGCAGGAGAAGGCACGCTGGCGGGCCGAGAAGGCCCAGCTGGAGCAGAGCGTGGAGGAGAACAAGGAGCGGATGGAGAAGCTGGAGGGGTACTGGATGGAGGCGCAGAACCTCTGCCAGGCCGTGGACGAGCACCTCAAGGAGACGCAGGCCCAGTACCAGACCCTGGAGCGCAAGTACAGCAAGGCCAAGAGGCTCATCAAGGAGTACCAGCAAAAGTGAGGGCAGCGCCGGGCCCTGGGCACCGTTCTCCCTCCCTGGGCGTGGAGCATCCCCCTGGGCATGGACCTATCGCAGGGGAACCAGCCTCTTCCTGGGCACCCCTTTTCCCTGGGCACGGGCTGTCCTTTGGGTATGGACCATCCTCTGGGCATGGACCGTGCCCTTGGTGTGGACCCACTCGTGGGGCACTGACCCCTTCCTGGGCACCCTTTGTCCTTGGGCG